AACATTTTGTCGTACTGCAAAAAAAAACGATAAATGGATAATATAAAATATTTTTTCTCGAATAGTTACAAGTATTCATTCCAGTTCTAATTAATTGATACCAGCTTACACATTTCAAAATAATAATATTCTAACCAATATTTAATTTTTATATGATAGATTGAGGTTTTTTTTCATCTAGAACGCCATGATATACAAAATAGTGCTTTTTTTTTTATCAAGTGTTTTTAAAATAAAACCTTGGTTACGAATCAGAAAAAAACAATTCAACAAATTTTCACTTTACAGTTGAGATAATAAAAATTAAAATAAAATGTCTTAGATTGATACGTTTTTTTCGTTTCCTTTCGTTCAATCATCAATTGTTCGATAAGATATTGAGTTGTTCTTACACATTCGAGATGAAATCACAAACGAATTAAACACGAAATGTTTAAAGATAACCGAGATATCGTGCACTCGATTTTTCATCGCTTGACAAACACCGGTTGTTATCGTGCACTGCGTATTATAATTCTGTCGACGTCGTCTTTCATCGCGTCTTTCCGTTTTCTTACCTTTTCTTCTTTCCATTTCTGTTTCTTCTCGTTCTTCATAACAGAAGAACAAAAAAATTTCTAAACTAATGGAGCTTTCGAAGGTGGCTCTAAAATAATTGAGCCTTCCCAGGGATATCCGACGTTCTGTTGGTAACCTGTACAGACGTGTAGATGATAGGTCTTCATAACATACATTTATGTATGTATGACTAGAAGCATCCATCTTGTCATCGTCTTTCCAAAGATGATGATCATGGATGAACTAGTCATACATACATAAATATATGTTTGCCTTATCATTGCCAGCTTTGTCCACTGTACAACCCAACAGAATACGGAGGGTATCCCTGGTCGCGCGTGCGCAAAATTTTCGCAGCTGGTGCGCTTCGGTGAGCCAAACATGTTCAAGAAGGCCAATTTATTTTCTTGTTTAAAAAAAAACAATTACATTTTCTTTTTTACTTGCTGAATGTTATTGTGTGACTTCGTAATCTTAGGATGCTGTGGTGGAAGAGACTTTTCGCGTATATCACATGCTCTTTGTAGAAATGACAGTGTTTTTGTGTAGTCACCCATGTTTTCATGAACAAGACCAAAGTTTTCGTAAGTATCAGCCAAGTCGGGATGATTCGGAGGGAGAGCTATTTTTTGGATTTCAAGTGATCGTTCGTACGATGAAAG